CATCACTGAGGAAAGCACTAAAGGTGGAAAGGGCACAGAAAGTATTCTGGGTAGAAGACTTCAATATCAATCACCAAGAGTGGCTCGACAACACCAATACTGATCAAAGACAACAAGGTGCAGGGCTGGATGAACACAGCAGGCCAAGCAGCATCATAGGAGCAGGCAGGCTGACGTTTCGGGCCTAGACCCTTCATCAGAAATGGGGGAGGGGAAGGGGGTTCTGAAATAAATAGGGAGAGAGTGGGAGGCGGATAGAAGATGGATAGAGGAGAGGATAGGTGGAGAGGAAACAAACAGGTCGAAGAGGCGGGGATGGAGCCAGTAAAGGTGACTGTAGGTGGGGAGTTAGGGAGGGGATAGGTCAGTCTGGTCAAGTCCTACAAACATATCTGCTAGACTGTGTGTGCAGCAGGTGGTGAGGGAACTAACAAGAAGGAAAATACATACTTGATCTCATCTTCACCAATCTGCCTGCCTGCCACTGTCTGTGACAATATTGGTAAGAGTGACAACTGCACAATCCTTGAGGAGGCAACATCCCACCTGCACATTCAGGAAACCATTGTGTTATGGTGAACTATTACCATGCTAAATGGGATAGATTTTGAAGATATCTAATAACTCAAGATCAGGCATCCATGAGGCACTGTGGACCATCAGCAGCAGCTGAATTGAACTCAAAACACAATCTGCAATCTCATGACCCAGCATATTCACCACTCTATCACCACAACCAAGCCCTAGGTTCAATGGAGAGTACAGAAGGGCATTCCAGGAGCAGCACTAGACATGCCTAAAAATGAGGTGTCAACCTGGTGAAGCTCCCAAACAGGACTTCTTGTGTGCCAAACAGCATAAGCAGCAAGTGATGGTCAGACACAAGTGATTCCACAACCAACAGTTCTAAACTCTGCAGTTCTGCTCCATCCAGTTATGAGTGGGGGCGGACAATTAAACAACTCACTGAGGAGGAGGATGAGGACGAGGCTCCACTAGCACCCCCATCAATGACGAGGGAGCCCAGCGCATCAGTGCAAAAGATAAGGCTGAAGCATTTGTAATAATTTTCAGTGAGAATGATTTATCTCAGCCTCACCATATTTTCCTCGGGATGTCTCGACATCAGAGATGCCAGTCAATAAGATGATAAAACATGGAATCGGAAGCATACCATTCAGCCTATTGAGCTTGCTCTGCCATTGAATGAGATCAGGGCTGATCTGATAACCCTTGCTGACTAAAAACCTGTGTAGCTCAGTCTTGAGTGTTCTTAACAATCCAGCTTCAATGGCCCTCTGTGATAAAGAAATCCACTGATTCACAACACTCTGAGAAAAGAAGTTTCTCTTGATCCCTGTCTTAATGTGCACCTCCTTATTCTAAGATTATACCCTCTGGCCCTAGACTCTCCCACACAGGAAACCGTTTCCACATTTACCTTGTCAGAAATGAGGATGCCTCTCATTCTTCTATATGACAATGGCAGTAGATCTTTCTTCAGATAAGGGCCCAAAACTATTCACAGTATTCCAGCTGCGGTCTGACGAGTCACTTGTATATTTTTATCAAAACCTACCTACTTTTATATTTCATTGCCAATGAAATTTAGGCTAAATATTCCATTTGACTTTCCTATTACCAACTGAACTTGGATGCTAGGACTCCTAAATCCCTCTGTTCTGTAGCTTTCTGCAGTCTTTCTTCATTTAAATAATATTCAGCACGACTCTTCTTCCTGTCAAAGTGCACAACATCACATATCCCCACTTTCACCACATAGTCTTCATCCAATTCAACTCACTCCACATAATATCATAAAACAATTGGAGGCACTGGCTACTGCAACGGCTATTGGCTGAGATAATTTCCAACAATAGACTTGTGCTCCAGAACATGCCGTATCCCGAGCCAAGCTGTTCCAGTAAGCCATAACACTGACATATACCTGATCTACCTGGAAGTTTTCCGGATATGTCCTGTACATAACCTGAGCAATTAGCACCACATCAGTATACTCTTGATTATCAGTTAAGAGATGGAAGATCGGGGAGGTATTGACTCTGTGGTATTATCGCTGGACTGAGACCCAGGTAATGTTCTAGGAAATCTGCCACGGCAGATAGTGGAATTTGAATTCAATTTTAAAAAGTCTGGAATTAAGAGTCTAATGATGACCATGAATCCATTCTCCATTGTCGGAAAAAACAATTTGGTTCACTCTTGTCCTTTAGAAGGGATTCTGCCATCCTGGTCTAGCCTGCATGTGACTCCAGATCTATAGCGATGTGGTTAACTCTTAACTGCCCTCTGGGCAATTAGGGATAGGCAATAAATACTAGCCAAACCAGCAACGCCCTCATTCCATGAACAAATAAAAAACAACTGTGCAAGTAGTGGTATCAAGCAGCATTCGCTTAGCAAAAACCTGCTCACTAATGCTCAACTTGGGCTCTACCAATCAAGGAGATAACAACTGGATAGATAAAGAGGAAGCAGTGGATGTCATATATTTAGATTACTGGACAGTATTTGATAAGTTACCACACGTGCAGCTACATAATAAGACAATGGTGTTTGAGGTAGTATATTAGCTTGGATAGAGGACTGGCTAACTAATAGAAGATTAAAAAGTTGAGATAAGGAGGGCATTTTCAGAATAGAAATCTGTATTTAGTGGAGTACCACAGAGCTCAGTGCTGCAGCCATAATTATTTACAATATGTTAATGACTTGGAAAAAGAGAGTGAATGTATTATAGTCATGTTTGCAGATGACACAAAAATAGGTTGGAAGACAAGTAGTGAGGATGACACAAAGAGTTTGAAGGGGGATATAAACAGGTTAAGTGAGTGGGCATAAGTTTGGCAGGTGGAATATTATGTGGGACAATGTTAGGCTTTGCACTTTGATAGGAAGAATAGACGAGATGAATTGAGAAAGACCACATAAAACTGTAATACAGAGGGATTCCAGAGTGCTTGCGCATAAATCACAAAATAGCTAGCATACAAGTTCAGCAGGTAATAGGAAAGGCAAATGGAATGTTGGCCTTTGTTTCAAAGAAAAACGAATAAAAATATAGTGAAGTCTTGGTAAAACAATACAAGGCACTAAGTCTATATCTGGAAAACTGTGAACAGTTTAGTCCCTTTATCTATAGAAAGGTATACTAGCACTAGAGGCAATCCAGAGAAAATTCACTTGGTTGATCCCAGATATGGAAGGATTTTCTTTTAAGGAGACAATTAGAAGGTTGGGCCTGTAGTCAATGGAGTTTAGAAAAAATGGGAGGTAACCTTATTGAAACATACAAGATTCTTAGGGGACTTAACAGTGTAGAGAGGTTGGACTTGACAGGATAGAGATGCTGAGAGGCTGTTTCATCTTATGCAAGAATCTACAGCATAATCTGAGAATGACAGGCCATCCATTTAAGACAGTGGCGGAGAGGAATTTCTTCTCTCAGAGGGTAATGAATCTGTGGAATTCATTACTGCAGAGAGCTGTGGAAGCATTAAGTTTATTCAAGACTGAGTTGGATTTTTATCCACAAGGAAATCAAGAATTATGGGGAAAAGGCAGGAAAGTGGAGTTCATTTCACTGAACGGCAGGGCAGACTCAAAGGAATGAATGACTGACTTCTGCTCCTATGTCTTACCACATAATCAAGGATGGGTAGTAAATGCTTGCACAGCCAGTAAAGCACACAACCCATGAAAGAATAATAAGAATGCAATTTTTTTTCTAAAGTAAAATGTCATTAGGTTAGATAAGACTAGAAGTATGCACAACAGCCAGAGTCGGCCAGACTGCACATGGACATTATAATTTAGAATCCAACTCAAACTGGCAATCTTAGACACACTACAGAATCAGATTTTATGCACATAGTCATAGATAACTACAAAAATGCGGAGGCAGAAAATCAGATTTGGCATAACTTTACATACCTATTATACCCCATTTGCTGCAGAATTTGCAAGAGCGTTATTGAGAAATAATATGTGCTAATATCTTCCATGTCGGTTTCTTGCCGTGACGCACATTTCTCAAATCATATTGCTAAATACTTTAATAACTATGTTAAAACGCACACTGAGATATTTTTCAACACCTGAATTCTCTCTGAAAATGTCATTCTTGCCCATTTATTTTATTCATTAAGCAGGTGTGGCCATCGCTGGCCAGACAAGCATTTATTGCCAATTCAAAATTGCCCTTGAGAAGATGATGGTGAGCTACCTTCTTGAAATAGTACAGTTTGATGTAATTACACCCACAATGCTGTTAAGGATTGAGTTCCAGTAAGTTTGAGCCAGTGACACTGATGGAACAACAATATATTTCCATTCAGGATGGTGAGTGGCTGGAGGGGAACTTGCAGGTGTTGTGTTCTCCTGTATCAGCTACCTTTGCTTTTCTAGACAGTAGAAGTCACATGTTTGGAAGGTGCTGTCTAAGGTGCCTTGATGAATTTCTGTAGTGCGTCTTAGAGATGATACACACTACTGTTCTTTATGTCTCTAATTGCCTTCTCACTCACATTCAACTCCCTTGTTTTAGGTCCTTTGCATTTGTCTAAGTATCAGAAAAAAATTGACTTCATTATTCTCAATAACCCCATGTTTTCTTGGAAGCATGAGGTGTTATGCTGTCCATGGGTATCAAGGATGCTGGAGGCTGGTTAACATGTTGGTAATGGACCTGAAGGTAAATCCAGTGAAGGAAGGGATTTGCGCTTCTGTTTTCCATTTGTAGTGGTGATTATCTTTAGTGTTTGCCCAACAATTTACTTTGTGGATTCATGTATTAGCAATTCTTTCCTGTGGATCATTTATGATTTTTCAACCTTTGCTTTCTTTACAATGTTATTTTTTCATAGCTCATTGAGTTAATCTCCCCTAGCAACCATCACACTTCACAAGAGTCCATTTGCTAGCCATTTAACCTATTAACTCTACTGACCTCAAAGTGAGAAGTTAACACCTTTACTTACAGGCCTCCCTCCATGTTAGGTCAGCCCCATTAAGGGTAACTGAACTTGGAGCTGCCAGTTAGAAGGAAGTTCTCCCCTCTCTCTCCTGATGGTTGTTGGACAATTCCTGGATTATCTGTTGTTGGCAAAATGTCACAATGAATAAGAAACCAGGGTATCACAGAGTAGCAGTCGTCCTGACCACCTGTCGGATAGTTATCAGATGCCCTAGGGGGTCCTTACAGTATTTTCCATGCAACATGTAATTATCTGCCTGTCAGCAAGAGTATTGAGGTCTGCAAGGGCTCCTAGTGAATCAAAGAGCAGTCAGTTGGCTCCTTATTCCCAGCAGCAGCATTCACAATGGTAGCCACTGCTGGAACTGTAAACAAGCACAAGCAGTAATGATGGACGAGGCCCCAGATCCAGATGACGTTGGGCTCATTGAACACAGTCAGGCAAATCCTGTAAAGGGAGTGAGGTAAGTGTTTCCAAAGGAGGGGATGGTGGTGGTGGGGCGGATGGGTTGCTTTTTCAGCCTTAAGAACCTAAATCTAGAGGGCACACCTCCAAGTCACAAGGAAGTGTTGGGCAATATAAGGTGGCCTCCAGATTTAGTAGAGGTGATATCCTTCAAGAACAAAATACCAACCAAACGGGAAGCCCTTAAATAGTTGTTAATTGGCCAATGAAGAGCATTAGTTGCCCCCAGTGGGGGACAGCTATCCACTACTTTCTCTGCTCCTGGTAAAATACTAGAGATGGCAGCCCACTCATGTTTTTGTGATCCACCTCCAACTCCCAAAGTGGCCCCAAAGCTCCTGAAAGATCCCGACCATACAATGATTACAGAATAGAATGAGGCCATTATATCCATGCTAGCTCTCTACAAAAGCAACTCAACTACTTCCATTGTCCTGTAGCCCTGTAAAGGTTTTCCCACTAGTTAATTATCAAATTCTCCTCTAAAAAGGTCTTAATTGAGTGGGCCTCCAAAAATTTCTCAGGCAATGTATTTCAGATCCTGACTACCTACTGCATCAAACAGGATTTCCTCAATCCTTCATTGCTTGTTTTCCCCAGATTCTTCCCATTTGCTGTGTCCAAACCCTTTATGATTTTGGGAATGCAAATGTAAAAGCATGGGTACACCCAGCACCTTTAAGTCCCCTCCTGACCATACACTATCCTAACTCGGAACAACATCGCGATTCATTCATTGTTACAGGATTAAAATACTAGAACTCACTTCCTAGCAGCGCTGTGAGTGTGTCTGCACTAGATGGCTACCTGAACCCACCACCACCTTCTCAAGGCGATTAGGATCGGCAACAAGTGCTGGTCTTGTTGGTCCACAATTCATGAAAGAATTTTTTTAAAAAATTCATGCTGAAGCCATGCCAGTGTTTTGTCATTCTTCCCAGCTTTGTACTCTAACACTGATTGACAAAACCCGTGATCTGAAGAATTTTATTAACCACTTTCTCAAAATACCCTTCCACCCTCAATGATTTGTGCACATATACGCACAGGTCCCTCTGCCGTTGCATTCCCCTTCAGAATGGTACATTCTGTTTTATATTGCCTACCATATTCTTCCTACCAAATTGAGTCACTTGGCACATTTCTGATTAAATTTTATCTGCCACTTGTCATTCCCATTCCACCAGCCTGTCCAAGTCCTCTTAAGATCTGTCACCTTTCTCCTCACAGTTTAGTAAAGTCTGAAATTGTGTCCTGTACACCGAAATCTGGCTCGTTAATATATATATTAAAAAAAGCAGGAGTCCTAACACTGACCAGAGGGAACCTCAATATACACTTTCCTCTAGTCCAGAAACTGTCCTCCACTATTCTACGTTAAGAAATAGCTAAGGGATAAAGGCACTGGTAGGAACAGCCCTCTAATTTCTTTCCAACCATGCGACCTGCAAGGACCATGTGTGACAGTGACTTCGGAACTGGAAGCAATGCACCACAATTCATGGAGATTTGGAGTGGCTGGATACCTTATAGGGAACATTGGTTTATAGGTTCCCTAATAGTAGCTGTTCTGTAGAAGAGAAAATAAATCAGAGATAGTATGGGCATATAAAAAAAGGCAGTGTATTAATCATGGGTGATTTCAATCTACATGCAGAGTGAAAAAAATCAGCTTGGCAGAACCACAAGGAAGAATTCATGGAGCATATCTGGGAGTTTCCTAGAAAAATATGTTGTGGATCTAACCAGAGATCAAGCTACTTTGGATGTGGTGATGTTTAATGTGGCAGTTCTAATATAATGATCTCAGAGTAAAGATCCCTGATAAAACAGTGATCATAACATGGTAGAATTTAGCGTTCAGTTTGAGGGAGAAACTTGGGTTGGAAACAACTGTGCAAACTTAAATAAGGGGAGTTAAATGAGGGCAGAGCTGACTGGAGTGGGCTGGGAAAGGAATTTAGACGGATGAAGAAAGTTTAAGAAAATAATTCATGGCTCACATTAAACATATATCCAAGCGAGAAAGAAGAATTTTAGGAAGGAGATAAGCCAAACATGGTTAAGTGAAGTTAAGGATAGCATCAGATTGAAAGAAAAACACCCAATGTAGGGAATACTAGTGGTAAGACAGAGGGCTAGGAGAGATTTTAAAACTAACAAATAACAAAAAAGACTTTGAGGATATATTTGAAAGTAATATCATAACAGACAGCTAGAGTTTCTCTAAATATTTAAAAATTGAGAGAGAGAGAAAACATAGTGAGATTGGGCCCTTGCTCAATAAGGCAGTGGAAATAATAATGGGGAACCAGGAAATGGCAGAGGAATTGAATAAATATTTTGCATAAGTCTTCACAGTAGTAGACACTAATAGAATTCTAAGATTACTAAATATTCAAGGGGGAAGACAGGAAATAAATATAATAACTGTCACAAGAGAAAAAGTACAGACACGGGGAGAATGTGCCAACTCCACACAGACAGTTGCCCAAGGCTGGAACCGAATCCAGTTCCCTGGCATGGTGAGGCAGCAGTGCTATCCACTGATCCATCATGCCACCCATACAGGTTGGGTCTATTCACATTAGAGTTTAGAAGAACAAAAGACAATCTTATTGAAGCATACAAATTTCTTATGGACTTGACATAGTAGGTGGGGAAAACTGTTTCCCCTCTGGGAAAGTCTAGGAAAAGACAGCACAATCTCAGAAGTAAGGGATTGTCCATTTAAGACAGAGATGAGGAAGAATTTCTTCACTCAGAGTGTAGCAAATCTGTGGAATTCTTCACCCCAGACTGTCAAGGGTGGGTCATTAAGTATATTCAAGGCTGAGAAAGACAGATTTTAATCAGTAAGGGAATCAAGCGTAATGGGGACAGGGCAGGAGCGTGGAATTGAGGGTTATCAATCAGCCATGATCTAATTGAATGGCATAGCAGACTTGATGGGCTGAATGGCCTACACTGCTCCGACATTTTATGGTCTTTTGGGATAAATAGCTGACACTCAAGAATCACCCGATTGGTCAACGAAAAGCTTTTTGTCCCCAGGTTTCAACAGATGTTTAAAGATGCAGTGAAAGGCTGGACTTTCAAAGCAGCAGAAAGATAAAATTTGGTTTCTGAAGATTGTGAAAGCTTCAGGAATGCATTCGCCCAAAGCTAACAACCTCATTCACTGCGTACAAAAGACCCAGTGGCCAAACTGTGTATTTCACAGCAGAAGTTTACATCACGGAATGATGTTAGAAATATAGATATAGGAACTTTGGAATAGCAAATAAAACTGGCACTGAAAAATGATGACAAGATGCAAAGTGCGAATTAGTTATGGTTGAAATAATAGATTCTGGATATTTTACAATCAAATAGGTTTAACTCAGGTGAACCATTACTGTAAGTTGCTAACGCCGGATTCGTTTATCCTCGGGTCTTTGTCCACTGCTAACATTATGACATGATTCCTGGAAAACATCTTTTTTGAACTCAGTGATCTGGTTGGTACTCAGTGACTTACCGTGGAATTGGCAAAAAGGAAGGTTTAGCACAACAGTGTCCCAGAACCGGTGCAAAACTTATATAGCTTTCAAACTGGCCGCGAAACGAAATGAGCTGTGCCAGTAAAAACCTCAAGGCAGCCTGTATGTGCAAGCAGTCACGTCGCACACTGGGTAACAAATACAGGACGAAAGTTTCTGATATCATTCAGTGTTTTTTTTTGAAAAGTCAGAAGATTATGATTAAGGCTGACTCACAGTCTCTTCGCTGGAGAGTACAGACGGTAAGGTTTCTCCCCCAGGAGCCACTCCGAAGCGTGGCAGGCACAATCTTGAAGAAACTCGCCATCTCTCTATGTGTGTGTGAACAGAGGCTGCGATGTGGGAGCAGGAAGCATCCCCAATACGCGGGCTGCGTGGAGGCGGCCCATAACGTGCTCTGATTGCAGCTGAAGGGAGTTTTGTGAGTGAGAGCGGGAGAATCACCATCATTCTCATTCACCCAAACATCAGCATCTTCCTCAAATCAGAAACAGTATCCGGGGGGCATTGCCCGATCGATTATTACCAAAATCAGATAATGCGGGGGCTGGCGAGGTTTGAAATCTAAAAATTGAAATGAATGGGGACTTGCGAGACGCAGGAAAGGAAATTGACTTCTTCACAATGACTGCCTCATTCGATTCCATTTTATGCCCGAATTGCTTTTATTGAAAGACATTTTATATAAACGGAGACAATGTTTCAAACAATGCAAACAGAAAATGCTGGAGAAATCCAGCAGGTCTGGCAGCATCTGTGGAAAGAATGAATAGTTAATGTTTCGAGTCTGATCTGACTCCTTGCGGCTGTTTCAAGGGTCACATCGGACTCGAAATATTTAACTGCGTTTTTATCTCCACACATGCTGCTGAGTTTCTCCAGTGTGTTGTTATTTCTTTTAATTTCGGATTCCAGTATCTGCAAAACTTTGTTTGTATTTGAATATTTCAAGCAAAGGGAGGACGTTTCCCAGGAATACTTCCAAATATTTCTGCTGGAAATGCTAAGCTCCATGTTACAGGGAGTCCTAAAGCCACACCATGATTCCAAGAGAATGTCCTCAGACACAGGAAGTAGTCGGTTCAAGAGAATGCCTGACAACAAGGTGCAGGGCTGGATGAACACAGCAGGCCAAGCAGCATCATAGGAGCAGAGAGGCTGACGTTTCGGGCCTAGACCCTTCATCAGAAAAGGGGGAGGGGAAGGGGGTTTTGAAATAAATAGGGAGAGAGTGGGAGGCGGATAGAAGAGGGATAGAGGAGAGGATAGGTGGAGAGGAAACAAACAGGTCGAAGAGGCGGGGATGGGGCCAGGAAAGGTGAGTGTAGGTAGGGAGTTAGGAAGGGGATAGGTCAGTCCAGGGAGGACGGACAGGTCAAGGGGGCGGGATGAGGTTGGTCGGTAGGAGATGGAGGTGCGGCTTGAGGTGGGAGGAGGGGATAGGTGGGAGGAAGAACAGGTTAGGGAGGCAGGGACGAG